ACTGCCAAAGCTCTGAACTGCACGACCGGAGGTAGTTCCAACGCCTTTCTGTGCATTAATAGCTACCAATCATTTATTGTGGTGGAACCAGAGGAAGATCGTATTCTGTAAGCCCATGAACCTAGCTCTGTTGGGACTAATTAGGCATGTGAGCATGGTGCTAGCATATTTGTACAGTAGTCGTTGATTGATGAGTGTGAGGTGGACTTGCTGGGGTAGAGAGGAGGGTATCCTGGTGTTGGCAATAGGGTGAAACGCTAGTAATAAGTGACACCAATCGTCTCCATTAATAAATTTTGTGCACTACTCCAAGCTAAAGATACTCAGATCCATTTTTGGGGTACACTCATGGATAGGAATACCATTAGACAGGAATAAATAGTGGGCTCCCAGCGCTATGACTGGCGAGGGGATCATCTGTATATCGCCCATTTTGTTGAAATCTTATAACAGTAGTATCAAATCTACAGGAATAATTTCTAAGTTTGAATTTTGGGTTCCTGAGTACAATCTTCTCCAGTAGTATTAGACTAGAATGACTCGCCTCCTATCAGAATATGAAATGAGCAACGTTCGCGTCCATATATTTCTGTCCAGGTATTTTCCGAATATTACAACAGGTATTGGCCAGGTTTTTTTGTTCCCTGTTTTCTCTCGGTTTTTTATTTCATTCATCTCTCAGCCACTCATCCGGGGAAGAAGAAGACACGTGGCAGCCCTTCTTCTCGCATGAAGCAGCGATACTGAGGTCCAGCACGGTGGCTACCACTTACAAGACAGCGCATAGCAAGCAGCAGATGGCGGAGAAGGCGTTAAGGGAAGAGGAGGCCCGCGCTGCAGCAGAAGCCCCAGATCAAGCTGTTGCAGAGGAGACCTTGCATCGTATTGATCTCGGAAGCGCCCACACTAAAGATGAGGACATTGCCGAAGGGGGGGGGGGGGGGGGGGAATGTGGCGAGGAGTGTCAAATCGTCTTCACGGCAATGAAAGAAGCGCTCGATTGCAGAGGCTGATGATTCGCTGGTCTCCGTTCCCCCGTTCGAAGAAGATCATAGTACCTGGGCAGCATTCGAGCAAGGTCTTGAGATGTATATGCACGCAACGCGACAAGTGCTTGTCGTGAAGAGGTGATAGGTGTCGCTCGGCGTAACACAACACTCAAGAACCTGATTCAGTACAAAGATGCCACGGTGGAGAAGATCCCGCTCATTCCAGACGACATGGCCCATATCAGCGAAAGTATATTTGTACCCACCGGTGGCCTACGCACGAGCGGTCAACAGGCAAGCGCACGTCACACAACCTTCGCCGGACTGAGTGTCCTTTCCAGTTCCAAGCGCAGGTCAATCACTTGGATGATGGCTCGTGGGGAATCGTTCTGGAGAGCGAAGTTTTCTGTCACAACCACCAGGTTTCTCCAGAAATTTACCAGCACTATCCAGGTATTCGCCAGGTATCTACTCAGTCTCCATTGGTACCCGGTGTTGAGCTACTCATGGATTCGCAGGCAAGAACATCAAGTATTTACGAGTACATTCGAGACAACTCGGAGCACCGCGACACGATGACAGATGTCCGGAACATGGTCGATCGCTTGCGTAGCTCCGGTAAGTGTTTAAGATGTTTGTGCTTTGGATGTATGTGTGCTAATGAGTGCTTAGGTGTCTGATTACCCTAGGCGCAAAAAATGTCTGATGACGATGCAGTAGCTGAAACGATCGTGAACTTTAACATGGAGTCGCCTCAGAATGTGTCGTCGGTGTACCAGAGCGCGCGCGGGAACACTGGGGTGATTTCAATCACGACAGGGCATATGCGATCTATGTTGGGCAGTTTTCCTGAAATCCTTCAAATGGACTGCACACACAAGACAAACAAGTAAGTATTAGCTGCGCATATTTGTTCCATGTATTGTCCATGTTTTCCCAGGTATTTATCATTTTTATTTGTAGGAGTAGACACAACTACCGGCTTCTCTCGATCGTTGCGATGGACCGGTTTGGTAATGGGCAGCCTGTCCAGTACTCTTTTGTTAGAGACACATGGCGACTGGCAAATGGCAAAGAGCCTAGTCCATTTCAAGCGAGCAAATGAGCTCTGGCGTTTTGGGCGGATTGTCATTGTGGACAAGGACTTGAGAGAGGTGAAAGTGTTGCGTCAGAAGTTTCCAGAGGCTTGCATATTGTTATGCCACTTTCACGTGATTAAATGGCCACATGATACGATTCGGATGTCAAGTAAATACGTA